CTAGCATTTTCTGCCCGCGTCGCATCATTTTCGGCCTGTTTAGTCGCAATTGCGGCCAATTCTCCATCTGTAATCTTACAATCTGCTGAAACGACCCATTCTCCGTAATCCCGTTCAAGTTGTTCCATCCTGTCCAACCAGCTATCCGGTAAGGTATCCATCCTACCTTCCAAAGTATCCAGCATATAATCCAGATCTCTCCCAAGAATCGTAACTTTGGCCTGTAAAACATTTTTCATGACTTCGAAAGTTTGTCGAGAAAGAACTGTATCCCCCATTTCACCAGAACCAGTCGCATTTGTCCCTGCCATCTTTATAGCCTGCCATCCCGAATTTAACGCCATCTCCGCATCATCCAGCCCTAGTAACAAAGGCGGCACTCTTCGAAGTACAGATAGACGAATACCCCATATATCCAATAAACGCGTCAATTTCGCCAAATTCGGTAATGCCTGCAATACCGTGGCCGTAACTATAGCTGTGAAATCATCCATCATTGTATACGAGGCAAGGAAAGCTGGTATGGCCACGGTAGAAGTCGAAGAGGAAGGTCGAGAGTTCGCAGAAAAGTGTGTGTCCAAGACCTGTCGTTTTATTTCTTCCACCTTCAAATCATCCATACCTTCTCCAATTTCTTCTATCCGATACTCGTATCGTACAACCTGATCGAGCAAAAGACTTCCACAATACTGCGGCTCTGTATCTTCTTCATCCTGTTGTTCTGTTTCATTGTCCGACTTGGGTATTGATACTTTTATCTTCTTTGAAGAGACGGGAGCTTCGAATCCTGCTGATCCTCCAGTTTTGGGCCATGGCCAATCTGATAATTCATCCAACCATTCTTGTACTTTCTTGGATGCTAAAGTTGCTCGTAAGCCAAATGCTCGATCGGCAGGAGAAGCTGCTTCGATGCTCGTCTTCAATTTTCCTGTGGGTGAAGTGAAAGCTTGCAGGGTTGTGGTGGGCGTGAGGTCGGATAGGAGGTCATCGGCAATATGTGATCGGCTTGAGGATCTATTTGGGGATCTTGTTCTTGAGGAAGATCTGGGGTGTAGCAGTGGAGGAGCAAGCCTCGAGGTAGAAGGAGTCATAACTGTTGTACTGTCCATGTTTGATTATGTTTTCTGATTAGAGGTGTATTAATTTAATGAGGAAATCGCAGGCGCATTGCTCACAAGAGACCTTAAAAGAGTGATGGTCTGTCTACAAGCATAAGAAAGGTTGAAACATAATAGTGTGGTGATCAAGAGAGGTTGAAAGGTAATGCAAGCTGTATCGAGTGACGCCCTGTTACAGGCTTCGTAGTTCGTCGTTCAAGGCGGTTGCTTGCATGATTGATTGATTTTCTTTCAGGTGGGTCGTTGTACACAAGTTGTCTTGAACACCGCACCTTGCAGAAGGGACTAGACGAGACGATGTTCTTGATTTTGTGATCTCGTTCTTTCTGGGTGTGGAGAATTCTTGGAAGTTGCGAGTTTTTCTTTTTTCGTCTTCTTCTTCTTCTTCTTTTTCTTTTTCTTTTTCCCCCTATCAATTATTCTATGCAAACGAATGGAGATGAATGGAGACGGAGCTCTCGGAAAGCGGAAAGTTTCAAGGAATACGATAAAGAGTGTAACGAGTATAATAGATTGGTGGTGAGAGCATATGGAATGATTAATAGGTACGAGAGGTAGGTTGACTTTAATGTAGGTACCAGGAATAAAGAGGAGACGATGGAGACGGATTGAATAAAAAAAAAGAGGATAGAGGATAGTAAATAGGACATGGGAAAAAGAAATGGTAGAAAAGTCAAACTAAAATTGACGAATGATTGATCGTATTGCATGTGTTTAGGAGAGATTGGCTCACAATTGGCTCAAAATTGGCTTAAAATTAACTCCAGATTGGGTAACATTATAAATTTATCAAAATTATTATGAAATTGATACTTTGACGCTAATATTGATTTTAATCTGGATATATACAAAGTAGTCACTGGGAGGGAAATTGAAGCTTCCATGCCCAGGTGGGTGGGTGGAACATGGAGAAAAGATTGAAAGTGGCTGGGGGGCATTTGACAGATGTGGATCAGATATCTCCGTACCGGTATTTCTTCAAATTATTATTAGACATTTATTAGGAGAGATTGCTTGGTTTTGCTTGAGGCTATACTTTGTTTTTATGAATCAACTGTTGACGGAGTGTCTAGATACTATATGTTGGTCCTGAAGCTATACCGGGTGTAGAAGCCATTCGTCTGTTCATCCATCTATCCATCAACCGATAAGGATTCCGGGAGATCTCTCTCTCTCTCTCTCTCCACAATCCACCAAAGTTCGGAATACCATAATAATCCACAGTCCAGTCCATACGAGTGGTCAACCATAGTCCACAGTCCAGGCCATACCATCCATAGTCCATCCAGTCCATAGTCAGCTATAGTCTGTGATATTCCACACTTTACATTCCATACTACATAATCCAGCCATTGTTCCCTTCTCCATGCAGAAGTCCATAGTCCCATCTACAACACCACCCGCTCTCCTACACATACACAACTCACCTGGAATCTTTCCAATCCCATCCAAAAGCCTTCTAGAATCATGTTCACGGAACTACGAAGACATACACCGAGACTCTCATTATTTAGTCCCATCATTCCTTATGTCACCAATGCATAAATGCGGTGTCTCTCAAACGGTGAAAACTGTACCAAATGCCCAGATAGCATGTTCATAAGAGGAGCTTCTCCATTCTAGCTATTCAAGTACATCACCGAATATCAAATCAAGTATTACTAATCCTTTTTCCAGCCACCATGCAAGTACCTAGGTAAGTCATCCCCGATTATAATTATACCCAAGTCTGTCTGCAACAAATACCAAACACCAAATCTTGATCCTGACAGAGATGACGAACAAAGATGACGAGCTGAAACTTCGTCATACATACATACATACATTGAGTAAGCGAGTGAGCACACTTGGTGAGTACACTTGAGTGAGTACCAACACATCGTATATCATGCGATGCGATGCGATATGATTAGATCTCAATCTTTCTTTCCACAGGAAAATATAACAAACTACATTCACTGTGTACAGATACTAAATCACACCAAAATTCATTCTTAAAACGAATGAATTTAAATACAATTATATCTGAATTTGTTATATACATTTATAGAATCCTATTGAGTTCTAACTACAGATTTCAAGAAAATAAATAGTTTTATTTTAGGATTATCATTTATTATATTATATAGTTTTAAAATATAGTAATTTAGAAATTCTAAAATTTATTAATAATAAAATGAGCGAAATTTGAAGAGTTTTTATAAGATTTTATTTCAACTATAAAATACTAATTCTATAATTTATATTAAAACTAAAAAACTAAAAATATAAGTCTTTATTATATAAATAATTCATTTAAAAAGTTTTAATTGAAAAATATAATTATTAATATTAATAAATTATTATACAAGATGTATAAAATCATTATTTTTTAGTATAATTAAGGTAAGTGGTATTATTTATGTTCTAATGCTGGTTTGTTTGTCCGTTTCACGAGATACGAAATAATAAATTGTACTCGATTGGGATTCACAGGGCTGATATTTTGACTGCTGGATGTTGGATGGTGTATGGTGAGGCGTAATACTAGGTATGTAAGATTACGTATGTTATTGAGTTGCAATTTTCTCTTTGTACCTAGATAGGTCAGTGTATTTGAGTGTGAGGTGAATGTAAAGTAGATGTAGGATGTGCATCACCTGGGCTCTTGTGCTTTGTGCGTTGGTGATGATGGATAGGATACACGAGTACAGAGTGATAACCATCACCTCTTACTAACTATCGTTAAGATGTCATGTTACAATAAGTCAAATGATGTATTTCTGAGGCTGTGAAGTCATTCAGATAAATATCGAGTTGTCTCGGTACAAAAGTACAGAAGGTGGAATCACATCTTTGGGTGAACCGGGATATAACTCTCTCTACAAGCTCATACTCGAAGGATATTCTCATCAAATTGTAATGATCTGGAGAACAAGTACAAGATGTATTTTTTGAGAGGGAGTTACTCTAATTTGTTTTGGATGTATTCGACTCTATATCCAACTGTCTGTTTCCTGAAATAAGTATCATTGTTCGAAATGCGGTATCTGTTCGTGTGTGCAGAGACTTGCATATAAGGATGACACAGTACCAAGTACTACAATTTAGACACTTTCCAGAACTTTGAATAATAGCTTTGGTAGTTTCTTCGGCCGATTCTATTTCAATGCTGCTCTTGTTTCTCATTTTCAAATCTGGCACTGCCACTATCAGAGGAAGAAGCATTTTAGGGGTAAAATGATACTAGTTTTCGAGTTCCTCTGCAGCTTCTACTAGCAATTATTGTGATTCGATATGTGGCATTAGTCGTCGACTCTTACAATCTCCTGATTTTGGGTGGGATGGTACCTACTAATCGAGTACGGAATTGCTCCATACGCAAAAAATATCTACGGATCTGTCTTTCTGACAAAGAAAGACTTTTCTACGGGTGCCCGATGTCGATGGTCAAGGAGATGCTGAGTAGGTGCTCGAGGATTTCTCTCCCGAGCACCTGCCTCATTACCCTGTCTATCGAAGGAAGATTTCAAATTTTGACTACCAGCTACGGAAAAGGTTGTTTCTTTCGCATCTGGGTTGGGTTCCTTCCTCGATGCTTCACAGTAAGTCAGTAACTGCTCAAACTCATAAACGTCGCTTCTCAATTTGCAAAGACAACACATTATGGAAAGAACGAAGTCTTCTTACCCACCCAGTCTATTTACATCCCATTTATAATCCCTTTCTCTTCTCCCAATCCAATCCTTCTTCTCTTCATCACCAACATCATCATCAAGTTCGTCTGGCTTTATTACTTGATTGTTTTTGCTTCGTCAATTTTGGTTAAATCAAACCTCGATCCTTGTTCTCGCGTTTATTATTTGAAGATTACCATTTGAATCTTCTTAAAATTCACTCATCATGCATTTCAAATTTCTTGCTGTTGCGGCATTAAGCCTTGTTGGTACAGCTGCTGCACAAGGCCGGATAGGCGGTAGTATTTGTGATTATTATACCACTACTTTGTTTAAAGACAATACTGCCTCCAATCAACAGAAACTATTGATCCACGTAGTCAATAGGGCTCTTATTGGTAATATGGGTAAGTCCCCATGCAAAATTCTGCAAAATTCTTCACTCATCAATCTCTTGCAGGAGATCAACCAGCCCCTAGTGTCAATGTCCCCGGTATTCTCACCAACGGAACTTATAACGGTATCAAAGTCAGTTTGTTGCCATACTTCAACGGTGCGCTCGTCTCTACCAACGGAGGGAACAAACCATTTTCTGTCAACTTTCTCGATGGAGGAGGAGCAGACAGTCTTCGTAATTACCAGCCTGCCAATTCTGATACAACCAATCAATAGTGAGCTCCCCTGACAATTAATAGGAAACAAGACTAATAATATAGTTTCCTCTTGACCCATCTCTACCAGTACTTTGGCGTACTACTTTCATGCTCTAAACAGGGTGGCACTGATTTCCCAGCATATTCTGGTTCTGCATCTCAGTATAACCTACATAAGTATGTCACCTTGATCATAATATTCTCTTCTTGTAAACTCAAGTTTACAAAATCAACAAAGGCAAACTTCTGACAGCATTGAATAGGTTCATGTATCTCTCTGATGCTGAAGTCAATTATTTCATCAAACAAGTTGCATTGTCCGCTGCATCCTTTGGTGTTTCTGAATCAGATCTTATGACCATCGGTCTCTCACTCCAAGAGTCATTTGGATACCGTTGCCTGCCACCAACGACTGTTATTCCCAAACAAGGACGTCAATTGCAATCAATTTGCACAGATAATACATGCCCTCTAGCGCCAAACAATACTTGTGACTTCTACGATCAAACAGTCTCCAAGCCTAAATCATCTAACATATCACCTAGCACTGGCTCGAGCACTGGGACTGGGATTGGGACTAGTACCGGAAATGCTACCATGGCTAGCGGCACATATTCGCCATTGGGCTCTGCATCTGCTACCGCTAATGCCACCAATCCACCTTCAGGTCTCGGATCCGCAACGGTAGCCAATGGCGTAGGTTCGCCCTCTAGTCCTGGGTCTGCAAATCATATCAACAGTACTGTGACTGCTCCCAAACCAACTCAAGTCACAGCAGGTGCTGCCACTCTTGGTTTGAGTTTTGCTGTCATTGCTGGTGGTCTTGCTGCATGCTTCTTATAGACGACCATGCACACAAACAAAGAGTTGGAATTATGCACATATATGACCTACGTCGCCGATAACGGGTGGAAATAAACCTCAATCCCGTATCTCGTCTTGCGGCTAGTGGTAAATGGAAAATAGGGTTCTCTACGTCTTTGCAATGCTTAGTTAGTTTGATGATTGTCATCAATTATCATTTTTTGACTTGATTCGAAATTGGTGAGTATGGGCTCTTCATTTATCGCATACTGCTCATGCTGGTGTACGAGTATTGAAAAGATAGAGTGGGAGGGAAGAAAAAGACGTTGAGGGGAAAGAAATGGTGTCTATTTGTTGCTTTGCTGGATCAGTTTGTTCACAATCTGGCTTGTTATTATTCTTGCCGATCGGCTCGAAGTCCAAAACAAGACAAGGGCTTACAAAACAATTTTAGTCTTATCTTGTTTTCTTTCAGAAGCTTGGAGATTGTGTTTCTTCATTATGATTGTGGGATTGTATGAGTGACTAATTGTATCGATGGAATCGAATCCACAGTCATCATAACCGATGTACGACAAAATGTCAGAGAATGTGATAGAAGTGAATAACGTTATTAAATCTAACATGCTCGGTCAAAAATTACTCATCCTCAATTCTTGTCTCAAATCAGATTGGAAGACTAGAGTTCAAATGCTTCATGAAAGTTGTGTTAGGAGAGTTGTTAATGTCTGATGGAGTGGAGGGAGGAGAAATGTGATGTGTAGCTTTACCCCGGATTCTCTGATTCGTTCAGTGAAATTGGCGCAGATTATGTGAGGCAACCACCAGTGGGTGCACGAACTCACAGGACACTCAAGAAGAAAGTACAATTTCTTATACAAAAAAAGCGATTTTAATAATTCAATTAAAATTAAAATTATCATTAAATCTTTTAAATAAAAAAATTCTATTTTTTTTTAAAAAAAAATTGATTTAAAAAAAAGATTCAAAAAAATTTAAGCTTTTATAATTAATTATATAATTTCTCATTAAAATATTTAATAAGAAAATATATTATTAAGTTTTTGAATTCAAATCTTTATTTTTCCAAATCAAACTTTTTTTAAAAAAAAATTGATATTTAAAAAATATAACATAATTATTTAAATAATATTCAATTATAATTAAAAAATTTATTGAATTTTGAAGTTGATTAATTGAGATGTGAAATTGTGCTTTACTATCACGCTATCCCGTGAGTCCGTACACCCACTGGTGAACCCTTGTTAGAAGAACGCTTCACGTGATCTTGATACATCTCATCAACGTACTTTTCCTCAACCACCTCAAACCGCTCTTGTTAGCTCATCAAACTTCAATCGTGAAATCGTCCTCGATTATTTATAGATATACTTTGTATGTCGGTACGATATGACAATGGAACGAAAGAACTCAGAAGCTGGCCCTTCAAACAGTCCTATAAAAATCCCCGTTGCATCATTTCGTGTGTATTGTCATTCATTGCCTACGAATGTTCCTTTACTAAAAAATAACAGCTACACATAACTCACCTCGAGTTTGGTTCTTAACTTCCGCTTTATCCCCATTGTCTGTCCGATTAATCAGACTTCTCCTCAAGCATGGCGATTATGTGGCTGCTGGTCTACCGCCAAGTGAAATCGAGGATGATGAGCGATGTATAGAGTTTAAGGAACTCATTAATGATTGCAATAGTAGTAAAAAGCAATGTGAGGGATGGAAAGATAGAATTCGAGGTATAAGGGTTGATGGAAGGTTAGTATATATCCCGTTGCCGTAATGTGGGATGAATTTTTACTAATTTGTTAATAGGGCCAAATCACAATGTTTAGCAGCTATTGCAGAAGCCATCAAAGTATTCGGTCGTATAGATATTTTGTTGTGTTCTTCATCAGAAGGTATTTTATGACGAAGTTTCCATTTCAATACTATGCTGATACTATGCTGATACCCGTGTAGCTGTTGTCGGTACGGTAGAGGAACTTTCGACAAATCCAGCTACTCGAAGTCTTGTTCGTGATCAATTCGAAGCCATCTACTTCAGTCAGATCAATTTTATCAAATCCGCTCTACCTCATCTTCGACAAAAACGTGATGGTCATATTCTCATTCTTACTGGAATTACTGGTCACATAGGAACACCTGGAATGTCCATGTATTGTGCTGCGACATGGGCTCTGGAAGGATTTTGTGATGCTCTGACATATGAAATTGCCCCATTCAATATAAAATTGACAATTGTTCAACCAAATAAAGAGATCCCCCTACTCACGAACAAAATTACTTTCGCTCCACAATTACCACAATATGAACCTCAAAATAATCCGGCTCCACAATTGAGGGAAGTCTTGACGCACGTGTTAAATTCACATCCAGATACTCGGATGGAACTACAAACTGGGAAAACTACCATTCAGTCGAGATTTCCTAATCTACCTAGCGAATCGAGAGATAAGCTGGTCATGGAAACTGTTCATGCTTTGACGGCGATTGGGGGTCATGAAAATCCACCAGCAAGACATATTGTGGGTTATGAAGGGATAGCATCGGTAAAAGAAAAGCTTAAGACAGTTAGTGAAGAGATGGAAGATTTTGTGGAAGTTAGTTGTGCAGTGGATATCTATACTAAAAGTGCAGTTAATCAGGCAGCATTGGCTGAAACAAGATCTCAGCGCAAACGTAGTGGCAGTCAGGATTCTAATAATGAAGGATCGATCCCAGCTCTATTTTAAGGTGGATGAGAAATATTTTGGAATTCGGATTGTTTTAGGGATTGGGGAAAATGTAAGGAGAACTTCAAGATGGAGATTCAAGGTCGTGATTGGAAGAGTACATACAATTCAACTATACACTGATTAGTGTTTCCTCAATTCAAAGATGGAGATGGAGTTCAAAAGCTCTTCTCAAAGTTCCAATTTCACTGTAAGTCAAAAGTTCCGTTCACAAAAGGGTCAATATGTTGCTAAATTTTAAAGATTGTTATTTATTTAGAAAAAGGGTGTTTGAAGATATTCGGTGCTTGGGAGAAGACTGCTGACTTACCTAAAGTCCGTCGAAAAAGAGAAGAAAACTACAAAGGAAACACTCAGATCAACTTACCGTCAACCGCCTCTTCTCGCTCTATCAACCTCATCCACTTACTGAGAAGATCTTCTTTCCTTTTTCTTCTTCTCCGCCTCCAGCTGATCCTTCAACTCCTTTAACTTCTTCTTCGTCTCGTCGATCTTCTTTTTCATCCTCTCCGCTTCCGCCTCCATCATCAGGATTTGAACCTCTTCAGCTTCCTGAGCTTGAATCTCCTCGTTTCGTCGTCTCTGAGATCGGATCTCTTCGAGTCGTCGTCTTTGATATTGGATCGTGTTGATGTTCTGTCTTTGAGATTGGATCGAGTCGATCTCTTCGAGTCGTTGTCTCTGAGATTGGATCTCGTCGATTCGTCGTGCTCGGGGTCGGATCGCGTTGATGTTCCGCGGATGACGGCCGCGATTGATGGGTCTGGCTTGGATTGGGGAGGGAGAGGGAGAGGGAGAGGGGAGAGAATTCGAGCGAATTCTCGGGGGAGGAACGATGGCTGCTCTGTTGCGGTCGTTGCTGTCGAGACTTCCTCTTCGGAATGCGAAAAGCCTGTTTTGAGAGGGGTTAGGCATGTTGAGGTTGGGTTTGGGATATCGCTGTACTTGTGGGTTTCTGGCTTGGATTTTGGGTGGGAAGTCTAAGATGGAAGGTGGGATGTAAGTTAGTAGATAGCAAGTGCCTGAAGAAAAATGTGATAGATGGGATGGGAGTGTGCATTTATAGTGCAGATTGTGATGTTGTTTTGATACTGTGGTGGTGCTGTAATGGGAGAATAATGCTTTCAATTTTTTATTTTTTTCGTACATATTTTTTTCCTATTCTGTCCTTATTGTCCTTGTTGCTGTCCCTATAATTGCTACTTCTGCTATTATTGCTCTTCTTCTCCCTCTTTGTTCTTGTAAGATCTTATATAATACTAGACTGAAATTTTAACAATCAGGCATGCGATCCCAGCTTGTTGAAACAAAGCATTGTTCTATGTTGTAGGATAAAGAATAAAGGAATTAGTAGATTGGGAAGTGGGATTTTATCTTGTGTTGTATCATATTTAGCATCTTATATTGATTCGAAGAATTGTATTAAAAATTAATGGAAAGACAATGAGGAAGTGGCATAGCGAGAATTGTACGAGAAGTCTTGTGAGGTATGTGGTTATTGCGGATGTAATGAAAATTTTAGGATAGAATGAGCAAGGGAGTTGAAAAGATTTACTTTTGTGGAAGTAATGTTCTTTAAATTATCAATTTTCTATTAAGTTATGTGGAAAATTGTTTATTTTGGTCTTGGTGGGATTGAGATAAGATGAAATGGGATGGGATGGAAGGAGATGGAAGGAGATGGAAGGAGATGAAGTAGACTAGAATATCGTATCAATTTCTCTCTGCTGTACTCTAGTAAAGAGGCATCTTATCTACCGAGGTAATCATATATTCATTCGCAATGCAATAAAATTTCTATGAATTATGGAAATCGTCGATTCGTTATACTCGCTTCGTTACTCGGATGAAAGGGGAAGTGATTAAAGACTGGTCTGATTTGAGCTGGCTTGGGTTTGGGTTTAGACTGGAGTGATGTGGATTTCTGAGGTATGTGTGTATGTGTATCTATATGCAATGATGATGATGATGATCAGAAAGGGCGTATATACTGGGCATATGTATCTGTATATGTTTCTAGCGTGGAAAGTTTCTGGAATATGAGATATACAGTCCTCTAAATCGGATATTTATTCTGATCGCGGAAACTGTAGAACCGTCTCGTTTATCAGCTATCGGGGAAATTTGATGTGCACTCACTCTATCTCGTCTCATCTTATCCGCATTCTTAAGCTGTCTAAAAGTAAATCAGAGATCTAATAAACGATAGAAGCCTATTTGTTTTCAATCCTCTTTCATTTTCAATTTCTTACTTTACCCTCCTTATTCATTCGAGGAGGAGGTTGTAACACTTAACTGAATCGGAAAGCACATTTTCCAGATATTCAGATAGGCTGTGATACATATATGACTTTGTTACGCCCTTTTCTTTTGCCGATCAACAATTTTTACGGAAAGATCGGCGCCATAATCAAGTAGCAATCTGAATGGTTTTGTTCGAACTACTAGCATGATACTCAATCTGAATCTGTTCCCTGAATCAGACTTCTGTAAATAACCCTATGTCCCCTTAAGTAGGGGTTTCTCCATGAAATTGTTGGTCAGGATCTCGCCTGGGGTCGTACGCATTATAGAAGGCTGATTCGGATCAGCTCCGGCTTCTAAAAGCACTTTGACTATCGTCACCCAATCATCTGCGTCCCTTGGATCGTCTAGAAATGAGATGGTATTTCTACACAAAGCGATATGCAGGGGAAAGCACCAGTCAAGGTCGTTTGCCAAAGCTGGATCTCCTTGAAGCTTCTGCCGAACATATTCAGATATACGGCGCTTCACGCACAAAGCCCGAATTCAACCCTGTTTCCACCGCTTCTGGTACCCCATCATGAATAAATTCTTGAAATCATTGCCACTGGACCGACAAGTCGCGATTTGATCAACCTCTTCGATCAGTATTGATACTTTTGTATGACAGCAAAGGTCCTGCTTCTTAAAATGACATAAAAAGGTCAATATTAGTGACACTAGCTGACCATCACAATTACCATCGTATCTCGAGTATAATGTCGTATCTGCGGCCGGTGGGAAGACTTTCAATCACATGACTAATGAGGGACACAGTGATAGATGAGGATCAAATGGATATTTTGTCCAATCCAACAAAAGCTTTTGCATGGCAGGCCGCAGAAAGAATTCCTCTACCGATCTGCGCAGAAAAATAACACAACACTGATGCAATGGTGAGCAGACGTTGTGGTCAGTGAAATCCAGGAAGTCACGGCATCGAGCTATAACTTGTATTCTTGTAATGTATTGCGCTCTGTCCTAGTGAGCTACCGACCATAGGTTCAACCTTGGAGTAGCATAATCAGGATTGCTTTGTTCCTCATCTAAAAATGCAAAGGTTATCACCGGCCACATCCCTTTAGTAAGTAAACACATTTGAATAATTTGTGATGTTTGGTGGCGATAACGTTTCTCGATGGTATTGAGTATTCGATCAAAGACTTCTTCCAGCCCAGGTGGAATATCTTTCAGTCTAGCTTCCAGCTCAGAACTTGTATCTTGAGATGTCATCCCTTTCAGTATCTCCCTGACAGCGAGGACAACCCAGAGAAAAACACCTCTAGATTTGCTGGATATCTGCTCGATAAGATTCCAATAACGTGTGTTTATTTGTATGATGCGGAAATCAGGATGGTTGGTGATTAAGTCAATAGTATAATGTTGAATGTCTGCTCGGGTAAAGTATGTAAGGGCAGCAATTGGCCAGGGATTGGGTCGATAAACGTCTCAATTTCTATTCAAGGCCGACTCGAGACGATAAGTTTGACATCTGAGGATGTCGCAAATGCTTTCAGAAGGCGTGCAATCTCTGCCGAATCTCCGATGTACTCATCCACACCGTCAATGAAGAAAATAAACCTGCCTGGCCATAACTACTTCTTGGTAAATTTTTCGAATGCGTCAAGAAGCTCCTTTCGTGACCAAGAGCCATCCATATTAATACCCGGGTGGTGAGGCGATGCCCACCTTTCTGGAAGCAGTTTTGGCAATACCGAAGGACAATTTCTCAAGAAGATGTCGTAAAGTAGAGATTGTAGGAGGCCTCCTCAAGACTTCTCAAATTCATTCCCAGCATACCAAAAGAAGTAATTGCCCATAAAAAGGGTTTGTGCCGGCCCAAGCCAGTAGCGCAGCTTTCACAACGTTATTGCCCACTAGGTACTTCATGAGTGTAGATTTACCAGAGCCAGCATTTCCATCGATCCAATATATATCATCGCCTTCACGGAGCCATTGTAAGAATCCAGTCGTTTGAGGATCAAATATCCAATCGAAGGTGCCATTATGAGCTTCAACAAGGTTGGAAATTCGTCGACCCATTCCTTCGTATTTGAAATTTTCAAGGACTGCTCGCTCAGTAGCAACTGTACTACCATTTTCGATATGTTGGAATAATTTGTCCCATAATGCAGCCTTGGTCTGTTAATAATTGCGATCATCTCGAGACAGGGTAGATAAATCATCTCTTAAGCCTGAAATATAACCCATGATGTTTGGTTCTGTGCGATCTTGGTTATATTGTAATCCCATGAGTGCTATACTAATAGCAGAATGCTTATCACTTAAACACAGTACATAGTTAGCTTTTATTGCAATGTCTGATGGAAATCTATCTGAAAACTGAAACGTGAAAGCGTACGCCAAAAGAGCTACAAGTCTAAGAATCAATTGATTTCGAAAACCATCCAGCCGTTTCGAGATCTCGGGTATATAAGCTTCCTTCCACATGCTACGTATTGCTTGACGAGCGCTTGTCCACTTCGTTTGTGGTTTTTTGAGATTCAAACCATCAAGGTCATGCAAAAGCTTGTCTAATAGTTCCTTGCGTTGTGAAGCAAGAGCTATAAGCGCTAGCTCGTCCTTGTCGTAGCTATGCTTTCTTTAGCAAGTGCTTCGTGCACTCAAATCATTGCTGATAGAACTGAAATGCGAGACAATCATTGAGAGCTCGAGATTGTTGACCAAGGCTCCCTCGGAAGGGTGATACAACTCGGTAGCAGTGGAGATGACCTTTGTACCAAAATCCACAAACTGAACCATAGTCGCCGCGAGACTAAGGGCTGAGAGTGGATCAAGCATCTTGCCAGGGGAATTACAGTTCTATTGGAATAGAGTGATTGAGAATGGCAAGACACCATTGATGCTCGATTAGTATTGTTTTATCATGCAATAGTGTGGCGACACAGCGAGCCGACCACTGCCTCAACAATGATCTCAATGAATGTAAGTTGCCGCAGTCGTCAGACCTTGGCAATTTATTTGCCTCGCCATCGAGATCATTTTGGGAACTGTCATCCAAGTGAAGTCAGTGTGGAATATTGAATTTTACACATTGATCAAGGCAAAATCCAAACACGAGGGCGTTGTAATGAAAGAAGTCAAATTGCACAGTTGCACGGCATCTGATTAAACGGCAGGCTATGCCATATACAGAAAGATAGTCATATAACACCATACATCAATGAACAAGAGAACTTCTACGTTCTAAGGTGTCTTGTTATGTGTCCGAGAACTGGCAATGGTTGTGATTGAAGAGCCTCGGAACAACGGAGGCTCGTGCACATGAACAGTAGCCTTGCAGCAAGGCTGAATATCCCACATTCCACGTGGACGGGAGGATTATCGGCATACAAAGATAATCTGCTGAACAAGAGCTCCATGAATTTCAACATTTTCCAATATGAATTATGTCTACAACGCGCTTGACCTTTCTATATCCCACACTGTTTCGAGGAATTCGAGCTAGCGAACCCATTGCTCCTAGAGTACGAATACAATCCAGACGCGCAAACCGAACACACCGACCAAGACAATTTGGCACAACCCAGAACAGGAGGGATGTCTTTGTGCAGAGACATGGAAAAGCTGTAGAGCCTTTTTTGAAGGAGGGAGAGAACGAAAGCAATGTAAAGGTTTTTGTGCCGGAGAAGAAAGTCGAGGTCGAGGAAGAGGAAGAAGAGGGTCCCAATCTTGCAAAAGTGGGAAAAGAGTCAGAGAAAGCAAACAAACCCAAAGAGTATCAAGAGAAAGCAGAAAAGGGTCCTTCTTCTGCAGCGCCACTATCAGAAGAGACGCAGGCTGCCTCGATAATAGCTGGTGACACTGGAGCTACATCGAGATCTAAAATCACTCAAGGTCCGGATCCATTAACGCCCCGTCAACAAGCTGCTGCAAATACCGGTAAAATGGCGCCGCTGGAAACGGTATTACATATGCCACCACCCGAGTCTGCAGAAGCTCAAAACTCATCAAAACCACCGCATCTTCAAACTCCACCTTATGTTCATCATTTTGATACATATGCTTTGGTGCAGCAGGTTCAGGAAGGGGGTTTTACAAAGGAGCAGAGTATCACTTCTATGAAGGCAGTGAGGGAATTGCTAGCCATCAACTTGGATGTTGCCAAAGATGGCCTGGTTAGCAAGAGCGACGTAGAAAATGTTAGTAATATTACTTCTGCTAGACTCTACTCTTGCACAATTGCTAACAATCAGTTCCACAGGAAATCTACCTCTTCCGTGCAGCTTGTTCCGAGTTGAAATCCGAAATACAGAACAACCGCAAAGCGAGCGAGGAGAAAATGCGCAGGGAGCGGACATTACTCCAACACGAAGTTGATATCCTCAATCAAAAGCTCACTCAAGAGTTGCTCACACTCAGAGATGATTTAAAAGGAATGTTCGACGATCGCAAAATGACTGTGCGACAAGAACAGCGAACAATGGAAACTGGAGTGTGTAATTCTTCATTTTCTCCTTGAAATTTCTGACAGCAACATAGATCCAAGAACTAAATTACAAAATAACCGTCATGCTCAATAGTGACGCCAAATCTGAGATAGAAGGTCTCCGATGGGTACTGACTCGAAGATCAGTCATGGGAATATTGTTCATGGCATTTATGGTGTTGACAAGCTTGAGATATGCAAGTTATAAAGCACATGAGCATGAGGAGAGAAGGAAAAAGGAAGCAGACATGCATGCGAAACATGAAGAACACATTCAGGATTTACCTTCGCAAGGAGCGGCCGAGATTTTGGCTGCCAATTAGCGAGCTTTTGTTGAATTGAGCGGAATACAAGATACCTCATACGTTGCTAGGCTTTTTTTTAGAATTGATGTATACAATACAATACCACATGCAAATATACCATTTTTTCGTTTTACTACATGGCCACAATCATAACAATACAGCACTGGACAATCTCCAGATAGTCACTGTGAAAAACAGAGATGAAAAAGTAATATGTTCAAGTCCAGTCATCTCATCACAGAATGAGGAGTGTACTTACAAATCGAGGGACTCCCTCGCATTTTGTATTCCAGTGAGCCTGATCGGGTGCGACTTGAGATGGATCGTAGTCAATATTGACGAAGTTGGAGATTCACCAGTGGTGTCGAGCTGCAAAGCTCGACATTGCCAACAGGACGCAGCCTGCTGGAAGTAGACATGTTTGTTGTAGATTGTACACGGAACACTACGATGTTTCGTGGTTGGAAAGTTGGAAATTGGTGTACTATTGTACAACCGTCGTTTACTTACTCTGCTGAAATCTATGGCTATTGCCGCGCGGTCGTTGATGGAAATATTCGAATCACCATTCGTGTATGTGTGTAAGATCGGCTCGTGTTGGTGTTGGATCGGGGTAGTAGCTGTTGCTCCTGCCCAAGGTGTAGATTGTTGCTAACTGTCGCCGAATATGGGTAACCTATCGTTGGATGGGATGTGTGAGGTGGATCTTGCTTTGGATTTGTTAGTTGGAATTTCGAAGTCGATTGTTGAGAAGTGGTGATGAGACGACTGGACTATGAGGACATGTTTTTGGATGGGAGGGAGAGACTTTCTAGAGATATAAAGGTAAGATGGTAAGTGGGGAGAGTAAAAGTGAAAGGGATTTGAAGATAAAGAGGAAGCGATGTTGTATCCTTTGGTTGAGTTTCATTCTTCACATCCTCTCCACACAAGCTTTAGCTTCCACTTCGGTTAAAGGTTGTATTGCCCCACTTCTCCTTGCATCTTGTCTTAGTAAAGCTGTTTTCTTGAAGACAAATCAAGTACGAATATTCTTACTGCGTTGCTTGAGTTGGAATATATGCTATGGCTAATATGCCTGATTCCCACTTATTGTTGAATGCTATTTGTTGTATTCCATCATAAGTACATTATAAATGATACCCCTTGCTCAATACTCCCCTTTCTCTTTTGAGTTCCTTCCTATCATCAAATTAAACCACCTTCGTCGACTGCCCAGCACCAAGATCATTGATATGTAAGATCTTACAGTGTTTCATGGACCATCAAAATGGTATGCTTCACCTCAAATATTCGCTGATTGTGGTATCTCTCCATGCATTACTCTTATCCACCTGTTGCTCATACGTATCGACCTCCTCATGGCATAGGATTTAGCCACGAATTTTGTATGGCGGGATCTAGCTCAACGATCAGGTCAGCATCGAACTACAATCAGTGCTCCTTAGCTAGACTTGAAGTTCTGTCAGGAGAATGAAATGGTAATGGGATCACGCACGTGAGAAAGGTCGTATGATTGAGGTACTTCCCGATCTGAGAAGTTTCCAACAAGATTACTACCGCAATCGCAAAGATCAAATTTATCGCCACTCTGGGCCTCTGGTAGGATATATACTCTCATCTTCTAGTTCGACTTGAATCACGAAAATGTTGCTCAAGTGTGTCAAAGGCTGAGCTTGATGTTCTCCAAGACCCAGAGCTCGACTCTTCCCGTCTCAGATGTTTTAGTGTATCGTCTTCAAAGTAAGTCGGTTTCGGGACCGGATGAGAGACGATTCTAGTGGCAGGGATTGGAACATATGACCAGCGTGGTATCTGAGGTTTGCACGGTTCTGTTCTGATTTCTCGAAAAGATTTTTTTGATTGCTGATACACTGGTCTCGATTCTAAAGGGCGATATGTGAAATCTGGGTGGTGTGTCTGTGGATTTTGACGGGATTCTAGAGTCTCGACATTCCGGTAATGATTAGTGTTCTTAATGCTTTGGTAAGGAGAAGGACCCCTAGAGTAACGGTCTCTTGAGTGATCTTTGCCATCGTAAGAATGAGTCATTGGTTGCTGGTTATGGTCTGTTTTGTTTTTTAAGATACCCTTTAAAGGTGTCGGCATTTGGATCCGTTCATTGTGGTACTTCTTGGACCCTGGTGACGTTCGATTGATAGTTGAAAAGCTATGGTGAGGCTCGTTCTGATATTCCGGTGATCTCGATGCAACTCTGGGTCTGTTGTAAAAATGGTACTCGTTGATGACATTTCGTTCCACCGCTTCCTGCCGCGTTTCACGTCTGGAGTTTCGATCATCATGGTAGCTAAACCCGCGATGTCCTTCAGAAGCTTGATATGTTTCTGACCCCTGGTTCCGACTTCGGGGTCTTCCTCCAATGAATAGCTCTCCTAGTTTTAATGCCGTGGCATCTGAATCCGCTTTCATGTCAAGGCTATACGAACGGCGCCGGGTAACTATACGGGCAACCGGAGTACTGGTGACATTTCCAGGAAATCGTTTGATAAGCTCACGCTCCAACCATTCTGTCTCTGAAGCATCTGCGATATCGTAATCATCCAAGATGTTTTTGATTGCGGGGACTGAATCACACCATTTCGCTGCAGTTCCATCCAATAGAACATGTATTGCCCATAAATAGACTTTGATTGGAATAGTACCACAGTTGCTAGAAGCGATTTCAAGCTTAATCCTCTCGAGCCATCTTGAAGCTGATTGGCCTTCGCCATGAAACTTTCCTGCCTGTTGAAATTTGGGCAAACGATATGAGAAACTCATAGCTGAAGGAAATGTGCTGAAGTGTGAAGAGATTGCAAAACTATATCATTAGAATACTTGGGTTTTAACCAGGAGAAAGAAAAGTTATTGGGTAGATTTTGAGCATATGAGGTCGATGCATAAAGACTTCAGATGTTGTTTGATTTGACTGTGACACAAAAAATCATATCGTCAGCGATTGTGTCTGTGATCTTGAGCCTCATGAAAAGCGTCGCCGAGTAGAGAAAACTCTTCTCTTTGATTCGGGTCACGATAAACGTGTCAGAAATTTAAACAAACTCTTAGCGCTTCCGGAAAAGATAAAGTCTGGCTTATTTTCGGATACTCAATCGGTTAATCCGAGCTGCTAAAAAGTATAAAAGATAGAAACGTCGCAATTGACGTTTTTCCTCCGTGTTATTGCTTTCCTTGGTCCCTATAAGAGGAAAAAAGTGCGTCTACATTAGTACCTTTAAGCGCTCAACTTCGAGAAATAACTAACGAATGGTAATTTTCAGTGCCAAATACCATCATATTGATAAGTAAAGGAATCTTAGTATGTAGCCATCCGAATAGGTGCAGTGCCTTCATCCCAATCACGCCACTAAGCGATGAACTGGGGTTGAAAACCTTAAATGATAGGTAATCGATTTCAATTGCTTCAAGAAGAATGAGATTTTGGAGTAGGCAATTTATGAGACAGATTTCATTGGTCCTTGAGCATAAGCGAGTGTGACCCAAGGAAGCGCTCACGATGCAAGCCTGGACGTGGAGCTGACTGCATGGAGCATGAACCGACACATGAAGAAACAAACGTCGGTGAAACGGTCACTTGATGCGAAACCCCGTTTTCAAAGGCGACTCCCAATTCTCCCAGGTACTATGCAAAAGCTAATGATATATAAGGATATAAGAGCAAGAACAAAAAGCGTAGGTCTAAATGTTTAAGTAATCACGTGATTACACAGAAGCGGCAGCTAAGACACTAGGCTCGATGGAGTACTTTGTATTCCAAACAAGCAAACGCAGGATGCGGCTGACGTGCATTCTCGTATTGGAAGTTTGGATCTCAAGATTCAAACCTCCAAATATCTTGTTCCATATGTTTGTCGGTAGTCGAGATTGATTTGAAAAAAACATCGCCTGACGCTAGCCCGTTACAATACAAGTAGACTTGTATGCCAATTGAATGCGGACTTTGACTTTGTCTTGCCTTGGAGATCACGAAAAGGCGAAGATTTTGGAATCAAATGTGGCGGATTAGACACTCGAGCTCCAGAATGGCTGATGAATCCCAAGATGCATCCTTCACGTCTTTTTGGCACCGATCTGTTGATAAAATCTCATCTCAGAAGGTCAAATTTATGCCAAATATCACGAGACTTAAGACTTGTGAGTTGATTTAACATTATTTTCGTTCTATAAGTTTACTTCTCCCTCTTGCCTATGTTCACCTCAAACCTTGAAGCGGCTCGTTTCACTTGGGAAATTGCGCGCTCAATGAAACTACACACTCAGCATGAGCTTTTTAAAAAAAACTACCTCATCACTATTATTTCTACGAAACTAACTGAGATGACAGCCAAGGACGAGAATAGCGAAATAAAATCCGGCACATCTCAAAAACAACATAGACGAGCTCAAGTCCGACGAGCTCAAATGTTAATTTGCCCCTAGTAGAATTTATTCTCGCTTCTATTGCTAATTCCTTTCCTAGAGAACATCGACAGCGAAAACAGAACTACGTCAAGCATCTTGAGGAAGATGCGATACGTCTTCGCGGGATGATTGCCACAACAAAAGACGAAAGTTCGGCCCTGGTGAAAGAAAACAAAGCAATAGAATCGACTTTATTAGCTTCAGGTATTAAGAATCTTTCGAGTCTGAAATCACAAGACCCAGGTTCACCTGCAAACAAGCCGATCAATATGCCTCTCCAACAAGGATATGATTCACTTCGTGGCCTTACCACCCCTGATTCAACGCAAGGGACAAAACCTACCATTAGAACAGTCGACTACGAGTCAGAAAATAGTAGACTTTCATGCTATATCAGTGATGTGCTCACTCAGGACAGTGATCCACTCACCAACTACTTCTCCGACAATCATGATGTACCATATCCGAGTACTTCATCTAGTTCTCATATCAATATTCGATTCGACGAGTTTCTAAATGCATCTTGCCTTCATCTTAGCGCGTCATCCGACAGTTCTGCTAAAAAACATGGGGCAATTGATCTTTCCAAACCCCTACCACCACTTCCTGGTCAAGTGTCGATACCTGCAAATGTAGTATGGAAACCATCACCTGACATGTCGCTTATAGCGATCAATTTCATTCTTGCGTTAGTTATTCTCTCTATTTCATGAAACAGTCATGTATTAATATTACCATATAGTCTCGAACACCCATGTCGTACCCACTTTCACCATTTTCCAGAGACACCTCTCCCTTTCGATCCCGCCGGGGATCCATCCGGTCACGAGCTCATGGCCTCAACACATATCTTCGCTCAGGCACCACCTAAAGCATTTAGTGGATCTACTTCCGATATATCCTGGTCTTCTTCTTCTGTTTCTCTAGCTCAACTATATGCCATGTCGCAGTCTCTGCCTGTTTCAGACTTTGAGATTACTCCTGTTCAGGCATGGTTTATGATAGCCGAGAAATATCATAATGATATTGAGAAAGTAGTTGGACCGAGAAATATGAATAGTTTGAAGAGAGGACTGGGTGGTTTATCACGATGTTACCAGTTTGGGGCTGTAATGGATGTTGGCAGCTTCTGGGAGGTAGTGGATGACGTTATGAGACAAAATGGGAGTTGATGATCTGGGTAGGGTGTTAAGTCAGTGGCGGTATTGTATTGCATTGGGAAAATGGCGAAATGCTTCTTCCAAAAAATTACTTTCCGATCTATTATGGGATATGCAGTAAATAGTTATTCACGAGAAGAAAATAGCTTGGGATGAAAGTTGAAACAACGGATATTCAGTGGATGGTACCGGTCTAATTGCAAAGGGCTCGAAGACGTCGAATTAGTGACCTACGATTATTGCATTGTGTTTTGGCCATTTTCTCAATTTCTCAAAATCTCGTCAGACCAAGGCAATTGCAACCATTCTGGCCAAAAAAGATACATCACTTCAAATTCGGCATTTTCATTTGATATCCCAATTTCAGAACTGAAACCATGCTATTCGCATTCAGGAGCGACTATTTTCCTCACCGAGCGCACTAATCCCGAGCAAAAACCAGCTGCAAGCAAATTCCCCAAAGTCACGATGCACAATATTCCTCATTCTTTATTCCGAAAACATCGCCACTCGCCTGTTCCTAGCGAACCACCCTAAGCCACCCCTTTCATTCTTTATCCCCATGTCTCACTTGCACCCATCGAGCCACATTCTTCTATTCTTCAAAAAGGGCTTCCATTCCCGAACTTCCCCCTCCACTTGTCTTATCAGGAAAGGTATCAGCATCTTCATTCCCAACCCACCTTCCACGTTTTCCATCGCGAAATTCATTTTCATAATGGATAATAATCACGGTACTCATCGGCCTGGTACCGAATACCAGGATATACGAACGGGTCATGTATTGAAACCTAGTAAATTTCTCAGCGCATTGAGAATCTTGCAACTTCTTCCCGCGCTTGCGATATTAGGGTTGGCGGGTTTCGTGGTGACGTTTATTGGGTATTCGGGGGCGATTTTAGATCTTTTCGTCGTATGTTCTTCCTTCGTCTGCCTATCCTCGACAGTTTTTTCCCTTTGGTAGTAAATGATAACATGTTATTCTGACAGGCCAGCGCAACAATCTTAAAATCTTCTACATCCTCCTCTCTACTCATCGTTTCACAAGCATCTACAACTACTGGGCCATCGCCTGTCTCGATATTTTCCTCGTCGTTTTCTGGCTCGCGGCTTGGATTACTTCCGCCGTACAGGTGCGTCGTTATCGTGGCCGATTCAACTACTATGGATGCGGGTATTACTTTTGTAGACGCGATCTATTGGAATTGGAAGAGCGAGATGATTTGAGTGATGGATTGGCAAAGAGAGCTAGCACTAGCTATTCTACCTTTAGAGGGGTGTATATTGCGGCTGCGGTGTTAGCTGCTGTTGAATTGTGAGCTTATCTCTTCTTATATTTCCCTCTTTCGTCTTTTCCCCGTGAGCAACTTTACCAGTAGGGACTGATGAGAGAGCGGAATTGAAAGACAATCGCTAATCTAAACCCAGCGTCCTCTTCATCATAACCTTCGCCGTTACCATGGGTAAAATCCTTTCTCATCACGACGATGGCCATCACAGTGCGGCCTCCCACAACCAAAAAACCACAGCAATGGAAATGCAAACTCCGGGTCAAACAGGCCATGTAGGACAAACAGGTCCTATGCAAACGGGTGCTGCGGGTCCAAATCCTGCGAACCCTGTTGCTCATCAGGGTGTGAATGAACCGGGGTATTCTGGAAACGCTGCTCAGAGGGTTTGAGTCGATAAGAGAGGATAAAGGCGAAGGTAAATGAGGGGATGGAATATATGAGTTGACTGAACAACAATGTGGTAAAAAGTGATATTCGTCGGGTTTTTTCTTTCGTTTGCTAGAAATTATTGTTCCGGGTCGCGCAATCCAAATCCAAGCATTGTCGTTTTCTTAACCGATTGTAACACATATATGCGTTCGAGGCAGTGAAATGACGATCGATTTAATATTCAGTTCGATGTGAGTTTTGAGGTTGGATGAAATCCGGCCCTCATGGCCCAAGTAGACGAAGAAGGTTACCTGTCGGGATACAGTACCTTTCTCTTCCGTGTATCGAGGATCTTACGACTATCGTTTCTTGTTCTTCATTCGGCTCGAGATAGTGAAGTGTATGTAGAAACGGGTTCTCGGTGGATAATGTAGAACGAAGCGATTCAGGAGAGGAAACTCAGTGTTTTGCAATGTACCTCTGCCGGTCATCTTCTTCAGTGCTATAAAGATCGATCAGAAAGGGGAACCAATGTAACATTGCGACGGAGAAAACGATTTCCGAAGATCCATTTGTTGATGTGATCTTATTTTCTGGACGACCCAGGTAAGGAATGATCGTGTATTTTCTGGTAAATATAAAAAGGCAAATGGGTTACCTACATAATTTTTGAGCGAAAAGTCTGATCAGTGACTGCAAATAGACGATTGTGACTGGTAGATATAATACCATGACTATCATTCTGATGAGTTATTCTGTGGATGTACAGAGTCCACCCAATGACGCATCTCGACGAACCAAAACACAATTTTGTAGTCGAGAAATGTCCCACTCACCCCTCACGTGTTGGGAAAATCATTGTTCGTACTGTCTGAATCTGACAGAATAAAGATCCTCGAGCGTTATAAAATCCATATGAAACTTTCGAGGATATTTTATCGTGAATGTGAACGATATCGGCTGAGCATAGGACATTACCAGCTGCTTCTCGAGGAAGTCCCGCTGATGATATCTTGCACTGTTCAAATTTGATCAAAATAGCGTTACTTTCAACAAGCATTGCCCAATCCAGCCTGTCAAGTATGATTGCTTCAAGCTGTAATCATGAGTGTGATAGTACTTTGAAAGAATATGCAAATTATCGCAGTCGATGATTGAAAGTTTGGGATCTCGAGTCATCGACCGTAAGCCGTCGAGTCACGATGAGGTCCAAAAGATCGTCATTCTCCAGCGATTTCCTAATCTCGTGATTCTGTATGTGTCAAAACTCTTGAGACTCTGACTATCATTCTTCTGGAATGACTGAAACTGGAATTCATGACCGAAAAAATATGTAATGACTCGAACATGCAATGGCTGCATAACTCTTAAGTATCCTCTGTTTTTGAAGACAATTGCTACAATAACACTTCCTTTCAGCAACTCGAAAGTACAACACTGGAAACAACTTCTACCTTCGAACTTTGCATTCACGAAACCTCGGAGTAATTTCACAACGAGCAAGAGCTTCCTAGCATCAAGGTGTGTGATATCAAGTATGCCTCCGAACAGTTTCTGCGATACTAACCAGACTGCAAGACAGAACAAATCTTCGGAAACCCAAGACTTCACGATGAGTTCCAACAGTGAACAACCTTCTCTAAAAACAGCCATGACAACTTCATCCCAAACTACCATCACTCGACAACCTGTGAGTAGTTTCCAAAATCTATATCATGTCGTTGACATGCTAACGTGCGTCGTTATCCAGACTCCCCCACAGCAAATGGATACCCAATCCAATACTGAAGACAGCACATCTCCATGCGTGGAGGCTTGTGTAGGCACAGGTTACGTCGTTTTATGCTCCCCTTTTCAAGGTTGTGGTAGTCTTGGTGGCGCCAGTAGTTGTGGTCAAAGTTGCGGTAATTGTGATTGCAACGGCGATTGCTAATCGTCGACGATGGAAATGAGTTTGGGCACAAGTATTTGATACTTAGACAAACTCTTAGATACACTGTACCAATAGCAATATAACTCATCGTTGTTTTCAAAATACAGCTTATCTTCTGCTGAGTGTTGTAGAAAAGTTCTTTGATAAATGTGATAGAGTTCGAAACAAAAATCGTCAAATCTCAGCGCCCCTCTCAATGGCATTCCAAGCCTTGTCCGAGCTATCGCAAGGTGGCATGGGGAGGAGTCTCAAACTCAATCTCTTCCGAATTTATTCCACATTCGGGATCCCGAATGGTTCCAATCCCTCTCTAGGAAACCTGGACTGATAAGTCTCGAGATGACTACTCGACACTCACAACTAGGATTTGCGCTATTTAATAAAGGATTGGACCGTTACACTGTGTAGCACTACTCCACAATTAAGACGGCAGAATATACGAACAGGATCAACGCAACGTTAAGGAGTAACGATTGAGCGAAAAGCTGTAGATCCACAACTTGTTGCTAGTAAGCTGTGGCGTAGTAATCAATGTACGAAGCTTATGAAAAGCACAAAGAGTCTAGATCTGACACTCAGATAAATGAAAAACTGCGCAAGCTACTCGGTATCGCCAGCCTCATTTGCAGGGGATAAAAGTTTGGTGAAACAAGCAGGACGAAATGATTGCTGACTCGTAGGTTGTGAGACTTACATGTGCGTGATGAACTGTACTTTTGTACACCAGAAGCGCGCGGAGCATACCATGCAGGTACCAAAGAAGGAGGAGGTACATGATAGTACGATACCACATAATTATGAGGCGAGTAAGATTTGATTTGCTTGCAGATATACGTGGCTGTGTTGGGTATTTGCTATTCACCGTTTGTTCATCAGGTTATGGTTGGTCGACACCCGGTTTCTTCAACCCTGTCCTGGTCTGCCAACAAAAGATCTTGAAGAGGTCTCCACTATGCACCTAAACCCTACAACGTCATAGAAGCCAATGATAGCTGCACGGCCCTTGATAGCACATGTTTGCTGCATCTGAGGGAATTCAAAAGGCTCGAAAATCCCCCATCTATCTCCTCCTCATTTAGACTTCAAACTTCAGACTCACACACTTTCCATCAAACAAATTTTCAACCCTACCCAAAACCTCTCCAAATTGTCCGTATATCTATACCCAAATCTATCAGACCTCTTTATTGACTATCAGATACTTAGACATTCTCTCAAAATGCCTTTCGAACAACCAGTCGTTGAGCAACAAATCCAATCCGAAGCTCCTATGAGCTCCGAGAACATTGGTATCGAGATGCAACAACCAGTATGATACCCTTCTCACAACACATACGTACTACTGTAATCTGCAACATATTAATCTCTTTCCTGCAGAAACCAGTTCCTACCATGGGTACCGAGACCAACCTCCGTGGTGGTGAGTCCGCTGGCTGTGAATGCTGTGGGTGCGGATGTGGTGAACAATGCTGTTAGAGAACGGAGCTCGGAGTGCTGGAAACGAAATGATGATGATAAGTTAGCGATGGATAAGGATTCGACTCTGAAATACAGAGATTTGAAATTTGGGTTTATGATTTTGACGATACAATACAACACATAGTGATGAGAATAATATACTTCTCCAATCAACACACCTAACTAACGTTTTTTTTATGTTGTTTGCTTCATTCATATTGCTTCATCTTAGATTTTGATCTTTCTCTTTAGTGACACCGCCGCCAAGTTGGATTTCTCCACGTTTCTGTATCTTGGCTGCTTGCATCCTCATTCATCAAGCTTTCTCAAGGGTGGCTGCAGTGATACGACATGGTAAGTAAAATTAGCTTCATAATTGGCTCGGATAAATATGGGTTTTATATCGGGTAATGTGGGTAAGCACTAGACACATATTTAGTAACTAATTTGCGGGAATCCGAGGAAATCGTTCGATGGGTGAGAGAAGAGATAATTTATGAAAAGAAGCACAGGATCACAGGATCACAGGATCTTATTATTAGTTAAACAGGTCGTCCTTAATGAATGAATGAATGAATGCGATTCTCTTGAAACGATGACTTTTCAATCAATCGTTGCTCGATATTCAGCAGTCAAACATTTACTTCGTTTGTCGATTCACCAGACATCCATCTACATCACCGATATGCCACTAAGGTTACGGTCCCTCCCGCTAAAAGACGTCAAGTCAAGCTTTTGACAAGCCTCTAACTCTCATCGCCAATTTTCTTGGCAGGAAACGAAATGAAACTATTGATACTGTTTTTGTAAGTCATCACTTGCTGTCACAGTCAGACTGTCAGATATATGCAGCGCAGTCACAAATCACATCGCACTTTCTCTTCTACGCTCAAACAGATTTCCACAGAGTCGAGTAACCATAGGTAGGTGCTTAATTAACTTATAAGTAAGTATGCTTTCACGATGTGAGATGAATTGTTCAGAAATTCTGTTAGACTTTCACAAAAGTATCTCTTTTTTTCGCTCTCTGCAGTGTTTTACATTTCGTATTGGATCGCGAAGTCTAGTATCTTGTTCTGTACTTTTCAAACGCCACCATGCACTCACTCTCATACCTCGGCCCAATCGTCCTCCTCACGAGTGTCACCACCATCGTATCCGCTCTTCCAGAAAAAGAAATCCTCGTGCCCACTCTTCCTCGCCAATCCTCCGAAGAAGATCATCTCACCTCCGTCTGTTCTCTAAACATCACCTCAGGCACCATCTCCTCCCTGCATCGAAGTAATAACCATCCAATCCGCCTACACCCCCAACGGTACCACGCCTCTTGATTAACTCGCTCACGCACAATGATTGTGTAATGGTGGGTTCTTTAGCAGTTGACTTGGATGTCCCAATTGCGATTATGCACATGGTTGACGACGATCCCCAGCGGTCGTCAGCGCATTTAATACTGTTATTACCAGTGCGTCCAATCAACTCTGTACCGGTACACCTACCGCGAGCTTTGCCGCAATCTTCAATAGTTTGGGAGGAGGAGGAGATGTAGCAGAGGCAACGGCAACTCAATTGACGGATTTGTATCCGAGTGAGACGGCGGTGAGTCTTTATTATACTGCGAGTGGGAATCAGGGAGTAGGCGCTATTACGGGAAGTGCAACCGGAGCTACGAAGACGGGTGGTACGTCGGCGAGTGTGGCAGCTACGGGATCATCATCGGCTTCTGGGGTTTAGACTACCGCTACGAAGACTAGTGCGGGATGTGTTGGTACGACGGCAAGTGGAACTGGAACTGCGACTGGAAGTACATCTGGATCGACTCGAGGTGCTGCACCAACCGGGGTCATGGGAGGTTTCTTGGGAATGGCTGTTGGTGGGGTTGTGATGGCTACTTTGTGATTGAGGAATTGATGAGAACGGGCAAAAAAGATCAACGTCCTGTATGACTGTATGACTATTCGAATACTTAATCAATAATTAATCAATAATGCCAATGCCTTCAAGATAACGTGCAGCTCCGAGATCTTGAAAGTTATATTGTTCCCGTCGACCCCCTTCTTGTATTCCTAACCCGAGCAAAACGGCCAAATATTCAAATCTCTATTTTTGATCAGAAATTTTGGAAAGTCAAAACCATCATTGGGTTGAACGACATGGGAATTACATCCCCAATCGAAATACCAAATTCGAGACCCATTATCCAAGCCGCATACAAATGCCTGGAAGATCGTGTTCAAGATGAATATAAACAGCAGCAATTTATTGTGTGAGATCAACCTTCAAATCAAGACTTCGAAGTATTGTCAAAGAATACTTTATCGGTGTAAATTCTTCACTCACAAAGACGTAGATTTCTCTCTTCTCCAATCCATCAGTATAATGAGTTTCCCTAATTTGGTGTGCATCATATCTACTCTGCATCAATCGAGTCGAGGGAAGAATCGCATTATGCACAATATCATGCTCTCTCTCTCTATTCTTGCAATACGGATAGATGCCAAGAAACATGAGTAGGTATCAAAATTCCATATACTCTTCATCCGCTAGATACATTCCTGTATAATCGTACAAACCCCCGTTTCATCATATCCCCAGGTGCCATTTATCAATACTACAGAAACACCCCCATCAAAACAACTTATACACCCCAACCTAATAAATGTCTTTCTGGTCTCTGAAAGACCCTCTAGTATTTTACGTAAGGGTTCCCCTGTATGTAACTCTCCACGAGCCCGCATTGGATTTAGTGTTCTTGCTTAAGCTATAATAATTCACCCCAATTTTGGCTGTAGGAAATCAATCAAAAGATAGGCATTGCTGGAAAATCCTCAGATATTATGTAAGAGGGGTTGATAGATTGGAAAGATATTCGATCTTGAGATTGTACACACCCCCTTACAAAATCCCAAAAATGATAGTTTTTGAAAGAGAAGTTTACAATACAAGGTGATAGATACCCTTCCAGTATGAGAGAAAACAATTACATGATCAGTCCCACACATTCTCTTAAAGCTCACCATCCACCTTCCATTTTCCCTACAAGTTTCCGACAAGTATAAATACCAACACCACGGAAATCACTCCTCAATCTCGAGATCACACCGGCTCAGAAAAGAACCGCACATCTTTGATTCACGTGCCGTTTTCTTCTCTTGCTCCTGTTCTCCTATTTTTCAAATATCTCAATCTAAGAGACTAGACGAGTGCATTCAATAGATCTAATCCGTCGAATCAATCTATAAAACAACTGAACTAGTAAGATTTAATTGTCATGTTGTCTCTACCTAGATATCTATCTATCGCACTGAATGTTCGATCGAAACTGATGTAGTTGAATCTGAAGTAAATGATTGAGTCCCAGCGAAATATCATGCAGACTTCGAAGTTCGTAGAATGTGTGTCCACTAAATACTCCTATTTCCCGAAAGAAAAAAGGGGTATTTTGGAAGTTCGGAAGATGAGTACTAGTAAGAACAGCAACAAATCAACAACAAAATAACAAGAATAAGAAGAACAAGAAGAACAAGAAGAACAAGAAGAAGAAGAAGAAGAAGAAGAAGAAAAACAAGAACACTCACCCTCACATCCAACCAACCCTATGATCTCTCCATCAAAACCACAAAATCACTCAAACATCCCACTTATTGTCTTTCCCTAAGATTTCCACAAGTTCCCCTTCTCTTCTCTTCTCTTCTCTTCTCTTTCTTCCCCAATCTCAATACTCTAGGGTATATAATCTTCTCTCCTCGTTTTCACTCCTTCATATCCTCATACACCATAACTCCCCAACCTCTATCCTCAATACAACCATTCAACTCTATCACGCATCCCATCTCTCAAGTATCGAATCTTCTAGTCTTCCACCAGCAATCTCTTATACCACTAGGTAATGCAGAGGCAGACATCTAATCGCATAATCACACCATATCCAACCACACCACACCCATCACCCTCCCTCATAAACCCTCTCCAATAAATCCCCTTCCAGAAATCAAAACTCCAATTTATCTCCATACTCCATCCCCATCCCCATCAAACCCCCCTCCTCTCACAGCGCCGCACAAAAATATAACATGAATTACGGATAGAGTATATCACTACACATCTCCCAATATCTTTCCCCTCCATAACTCTCTTTATATTGTATCCATGCCCAATAGTGAGTGATCCTTGCTCGCTTTCCCGAGCCTGACGTAAAAGTCTATCAGCATTTCGATTTCCCTTCCTCCTTGAAAAATTCACCGCTCCTTATTCTTTCCCATCTAACCATCCATCCCCTCACTCCCCTCACTCCCCTTATAATTGCACCCATTACCCCCCTCAATAATCACACATTAATCCCTCCCGCCTCCGAATCTCCTAATCTCTCACAAAATTTACAACTAGTACTCTCATCAATCTCATTCTCCTGCTCTCCATGATATCAAACTATCAATGGCGATACCCAGATACACAATACTTAATCCGAAGAATTTATTTTCTGTGTGACTTAAAATGGCGCGAAACATTCCATTCGATATCTCCATGTTTTAGAGCAGGGCGGAAAGATGAATTCATCAATTGTACCCAATGGCTAATGTGATTGAAGAAAGATTCACCAAATCACTCCACTACATTGTAAAACTACCTCTATAATGCAAAGAGCGGACCTCAAACCTTCAATAGTCCAAAACTCCAAGGTCAAGCACAATCACATTTCACAAATCAAATCTCATCATACGACAATAGAACCAAATAATTTAACAGATAATTTATTTCATTTCATTTAGTGTCATATCACATAGTAGCAGCTTAACCGTCAAAGCCGCATACTTAAAAACCTATTTCCTTTCCCATCCCATATCAATTATACAATCATCTTCCCTACTTATGCCTTGTTGGCACCAGAAGAACCACTGTTCTTCGCTCTCTCACCATAAGCCTTGGTAGCATAATCACCACCAATAACGATCAAATCCTCTGGTCTGTAATCATGCTTACCAGACAAGTAGCTCTCGAGAATAGCCTTGGTACCATCG